TGTATTTTTTATGAGAGAAAATATTGTAGCGAACCATGAACCATAATTCGAATCAGAGAACGAATTCTCCAACTAAACGGACTCATTAAGAATGGATAAACATAACGACTCATGAAAGGGCTTACAATAACTTTTTTTATGAAAGGAAAATAAATTATATTATAATACCATTAAAAAAGAAATAAATATAACGTCTTATTCTCATTAATAACATGTTTGATTAACATTTACAAATTACTATCACTAGGTTCTCCATTTGTTGTCAATATCCAACTATATTATTCCTTAAAATTAAAGCCATAAACTTTTTTGTCCAAGATAACAATTTTTATTTTGTTTTGTTTCTTTTTTTTAATATATCTTTTGCTTTTAACATATGCTACATCAAGTTTCAGCACATAGTAATACGGATTCCGGCACACATATTTATTATGAACTAAAGTTTAACTATTTAAATGTGTTGACGTTTGGTTTATAAATTTAAAATTATAATTCAGAACTATTCTTGATTTACGTGTATTTTTTATAAAAGAAAATAATGTAGCGAGTCACGAACTATAATCCAAATCATGACACAAATCCACCAACAAAACGCATTCAAATGAGAACGAAAATCAATTTCTTCTCATCCTTATCACCATCATTTATCGAACTATATGAAACTTCCAAGCACTTTCTAGTTGCCCATCCTCCATGTGCCTTCCATTTTCTATTTTGTGTAATAAATTATAGTTTGTGTCCAGCGATCAATATCATGTACCCATGTGACCTTCATTTTGTTGGGCCAAGTATGTTGTTTAACACATTTCTCATAAAGAAGTGTATAGTTCTTGTCATCTATTGTCTAGGTTTATTTTTATTTGCGTTTCGTTCACTTTGTAGATTTGAGTTTTTAATTTATGTTAAAATGTGACATTTTTTAAAAAAATTTTACTGTAGCAAAAAAAAAAAAAAGATGTGATATTTTATGAGAGCTTTTTATTATAAAAACTTGAAATTAAAAATTTAAATCGGTGAAATGAACAAAACTCTGATTATTTATGCATCCTGCGTTGGCTATTTGGTTTTTTTTTTTAAAAAAAAAAAAAAAAAAGCCTTAGCGACTTGGAAGAGGTGTTAAAATAAATAAGACAATCGGATTTCCTTTTGCTGCTTGCTTTTCAAGTAAAAGCCGTATGACAGCCGGATTTGCTTACAAGTAGTTACGTTCCAAAGTTTCTTCGGCAAGGTTTTCTTATTGGTGAAGTTATTTTTTAAATGTTAAATTTAATTAAAATAAAAATATATAAAATAGATAATTTTTAATATAAATTTTATTATTAAATTAAAAAATTATAACGATAATTTTGGTGAATTTGGTACAGAATGTCAACTTTATCAATCAACGGTGTCCACCTTTACGGTCCATTACTAAAAATTAGAATTTTTAATTTTAAGTTTTACAGTAAAATTTTTTTAAAAAATATAATATTTAATTTTTTTTGTTATAATAAAAATTTTTTTAAAAATATCATATTTTAATTTGAATCTGTGAAATTAACGAGGCCTAAGACTTCATTTATTTTATCGATTTAAATTTTTAATTTTTAATTTTTATAATTAAAATTTTTTAAAAATATCATATTTAATTTTTTTTATTATAATTAAAAATTTTCAAAAATTATTATATTTTAATTTAAATTAAAATTATAAATTCACAAAACACAAAACGAACAAAATCTTATTTCAGCAGAAATAAATCCCTTATGTACGTTTTTTCTCTTTTCCAGCTTACTCATAACTGCAGTCAACGTGTCATGTGATTTTTTTTTTCTTGAAAAGTAAAAAAATGTCGCGACTCACGAGGTTTTATTTTATTTTATTTTTTCAATTGAGGAAGCTCAGTGAGTAAAACTGTGAACGATTCACGAGGTTGACGTTAGACCTCCCCCAGATCCCAACATCGTAATTGAAAACGGGCTCCCTGCATAAAAACAAATAAATAAATAAAAACAAAAAAGAAAAAAAACTCATAGCTATAAATACTATCTCGATCACTTTATTAATTTAAATTAAAATATAATTTTATATAAGAGTTTTTATCATAATAGAAAAAATTAGATGTAATTTTTTGTGAAAATTTTTAACTGTAATAAAATTAAAATTATAAATTTAAATCAGTAAAATGAACGAAATCTTCATTTAGACAAAAATATCTCTTAAATTTTTTTTTTTTTTTTAAATTTCATTGATCACCTCTAATTATGCTGTGGTTTCACTTGATATCTTTCCTCTTACTTTTACAATGAAAGAGTTTCGGCTATCAAATTTATATTATAAATTATTTATTTTACGTATTTTTTTAATCTAATATAATTTTTATTAAATTTAACAATTAAAAACTTAACTATACATATAAAAATGTAGAGAAAGTCCTAGAAAGAAACCCATTGTTACTTACAACGCACAAGGTTTGCATTCCTATCCCAACTGTGTTAAGTTACTGCCTGTTATGCTATACAGTTGTCTCATCTTCAATAATAAATTCAACAAATAAAAGTAAAGTTTCTTTTGCTTCTCCTCGTTTTTGCTCCTTTTTGATTCAATAAAACGTAAATGTTTTCTCACGAGGTGAGAATCACAGGTCTACAGAAACGGTGTCCTTGGTTTTGTTGGGTTTGACAAAAAGCAAACTGCACAATATTAAATTTTTTACTCAAAAGATAATTTTTTATTATTTTAAACCGAGATAAATTAAGCCCGTTCATTTCACCGATTTGAGTTTAAAATTTAAGTTTTATTACAGTAAAAAATTATCAGAAACAGTCACATCTAACTTTTTACTACAGTAAAAAGATCTCACATAAAATCACATCTCAACTCGAATTAAAAACTCAAATCAACAAATTAAACGAACCCTAAATTACACCTATCAAAATAGAATTAGGTAACTCTTTAGTTTGAATTACATTTTAAACCTTTTCATTGTCGTATATTCTTCCACTAAAATTTATAATTTTTTTGGTTTAAACTTTTTTTCAAATCTACAAACCAAACAATTTCTACATTTCTAATAAAAATTATTATTTTTTAAACAAATTTTAAGGGTGATAGATTCAAATGTTATATCTTGTAGCGGTAGCGTCTCATTATGCTCTAATAAAAAAAATCATTTTAATATCTTTTTTTTAACATTTTATTATATTATAATATCTCATATTTTGATAATTGAGTGTGGTTTTATCATTTATAATTACTCTTATATTTATTTATTAGTGGACATTGTTGTTTTAACTATTAAATATTGATTTAACGGTTATTATAGAGTAAATAGTTAATTAAGAAAATGTATCATTAAGACCGTGTTTATTTTACCGATTTAAATTTAAAATTTGAGTTTTGTTACAATAAAAAACTCTCAGTAACAGTTACATTTAACTTTTTTATTATAGTAAAAAGTTTTCACATAAAATTACATCTCAACTTAAATTAAAAACTCGAATCATCTTCAATAATAAATTCAACAAATAAAACTAAAGTTTCTTTTGCTTCTCCACATTTTTGCTCCTTTTTGATTCAATAAAACGAAAATGTTTTCTCAGGTGGTGAGAATCACAGGTCTACAGAAACGGTGTCCTTGGTTTTGTTGGGTTTGACAAAAAGCAAACTGCACAATAATAATTTTTTTTTTACTCAAAAGATAATTTTTTTTATTATTTTAGACGAGATAAATTAAATTACACCTATCAAAATAGAATTAGGTAACTCTTTAGTTCAAATTACATTTTAAACCATTTTATTGTTGTATATTCTCCCACTAAAATTTAAAATTTTTTTGGTTCAAACTTCTTTTCAATCTACAAACCAAACAATTTCTCAATTTCTAATGAAAAATAATATATTTTTAAAAATTTTTAAGGATGATAGATTCAAATGCTATATCTTGTAACGGTAGCGTCTAATTATACTCTAATAAAAAAATCATTTTAATACTTATTATTTTAACACTTTATTATATTATAGTACCTAGTATTTTGATAGTTGAGTGTAGTTTTATCATTTATAATTACTCTCATATTTATTTATTAGTAAATACTATTGTTTTAACTGATAAATATTAATTCAACAATTATTATAGAATAAATAATTAATTATGAAAATATATCATTAAATTTTTATATATAATAGATAACCAGCGTGCAATCATAATCACTAAAAACTCTCCTTTAATAGTTTTATTAGAGTTTTATATTTTTTTAAAATATATTATTATGATACTTTGATAGAGTTCTGTAGAATAAAAACTGGTTGCCCCTCTTCATTTTAAATAAACTAAAGACTTATAATATTTTTTATTACAATAAAAAATTCTTATATAAAATTATATATCAACTTAAATTAAAAATTTAAATTTCACGTATCTCTTTTTTTTTTATTTAATTTTTTCCACCGCCTCTTTTTTTCTTCGAATATTTTCTAAATTTGAAAACAAATTTTTTGTGCTGCGAACGCGTCTCGAGTTTCATCTGCTTAGACAGTTGATATTCTGTACAGCATTTCTGGGTCCATTTTTCACTGACGCCTCCTGGTCTGTTTTGCAAATTCCCAACAACATTCATGGTCTATCTCTCTCACCCATCTGTTACACCTCACAGAATCTTCCTCCTCTTTTTTGTTTTTTATTTTTTTTTTGTCGTCTTTCTTTTTTTTTTTCGCGTTTTACAAAATTTCCTTTTCTCTTCCTCAAAGAATAGTGGGAAAACTTTGCTTTCATTTTATATTATTATATTTAAAAACAGTGCTATTTGCTGTCATGATTGTGAGGGCCGGGTTTGGTTTTGCTTTTCTTCCGCGAGATTTCAGGCTTTTCAACAGTTTTTCTTTGCATAATCGGGGACTTTCTTTCCTTTTGTTTGTTTCCTTTTGTTCTCTAGGCGTTTCTCAGGATTTAGATTTCAGATTCCTTCCTTCTTAAAACCACTTTGGATTCCATTTCCATTTTTGAAATTCTCATATGCCACAGCTCAAGCTTAAATAAACAAGTGAGTATTTGTATTTTCTTTGATATTTTTGCCTCATTTTATTGGTCTTTTTCTTGCAAAACCTTTGTATTTTCTTTGATATTTTTGCCTGTCATTTTATTGGTCTTTTTCTTGCAAAACACGTTCCTTTCTTTTTCTTTCTTTTCTTTTATGATTTTTTTTCCTCTGTATTGGATTGTTGCTTTCAGAAAGAAAATGATAGTTTGGATGACTATCACATGCGTGGCCTTCTGGCACCTTCTGTGTTTGTATAGACATCTCTTCCTTCAAACCATTTGACGATATATTCGAGGTAAGAAATTCAAAGTCAATCCTTCAAAAATCAAAAATCCTGTTTCTTCTTCATAATTTTTCATAAATTTTATTCTTCTTCACAGGTTTTCTTCTGGGTCATGCAGATTTTCGTGTTTTATGGAAATCTTAGATTGACTATTGGCTTACTGGGTATCAGGGTATGTAAAATTTCTTTCTATATTAAAGCAATATTTGATGTATTTTGTTGCCAAAAATCATGAATCTTATGTCCTTTGGAATGACTTACAATTCTCAGGATTCCTTTAGTTGAAGAAATCTTAAATGGAAATCTCGTCAAACTGTAAGCCATGAAAATCCTCAGCTGCTATCTCAATTCCATAGCGTCCAAATGCATTTTCTTAGCTGCCATTGCTCTGTTCATCAGAGCCATTTTCCTTGCCACCTTCTCTTCTTCCTTTGGCGCGTCGTCTGAAGAAAACGACGCCGTTTTCATCCACAACCGTTCCTTGTCACTATCCAATGAATCTCCAATCAGAAACGACAAGTTTCTCGAGGTTCCTCAAATCGTGTGGGGTTTGAACAATCAGAAGATAGCATTTGCGAGGTCTTGTCTCACTGCAAGATTTCTTAACAGGACTCTTCTAATGCCTAGCTTAAGCGCTTCTCTTTTCTACAAAGAAATAGATCTTTTGGAACCAATTTCATTTGACAAAGTTTTTAAGTTTGATAGCTTTAATTCGATCTGTAATGGGTTTGTTCAACTGGGCAAGTACTCCGATCTCATGAACCGGACCGAAGTTTTCGAGATGCCAAAGGGAAGTGGAAGGAGATGGACAAAGGAGAGAGATTTAGATCAACTAGAACAGCACAAAAAGGACCCAATTGATGAACATCAAGTGATAAGAATTGTTGGGAAGAACCCTTTTCTTTGGCATGATCATTGGCCTGTTAAGGACTACGCAAAGGTGTTTGAGTGCTTGGTTTTGGTGGATGAGATAATGGCTGAAGCAGATAAGGTTGTGTCTAGAATCAAAGAGATTGGAGCTGAGGAAAGTTTTAAACTTGAGTCTGGGAAAAACAGTCTCAATCCCAATACTTTCCCTTATATTGCTGTTCACATGAGAGTGGAGAAAGACTGGATGATTCACTGCAAGAATTTGGAGAGGAAATTAAACATAACCCAGATTTGTGGTAGCAAGAAAGAGATCATGGAAAGAGGGGGAAACATTGTTGGGCTTGAAAAACAAAGCCCAACTGTTGTTTATCTAGCTGTGGCAGATAAACTGCTTGAAGACTCTTCAATATTGAGCGGTTGGAAAGAAAATCTGATTCCCTTTGAGAAAAAGAAGTTGGGTGTTGATGGGGTTTACAAGAAGTACCCATATTTGATCCAGTCTGCAATTGACTATGAAGTGTGCTTGAGAGCAGATGTGTTTGTGGGCAATAGTTTTTCAACATTTTCAAGCCTCCTTGTACTTGATAGGACACAGAAGATGTTGAGATTGGGCTTCACAAGCTTTTGCGAAGCAAAAGATGTGACATGGCCTTCTTATGCATATAATGTGTTGGGGGAATCGAAGGGCCCTAAGAAATGGATGACAAACATGTCTGATTCAAGCCTCAGAGCAGTTAGCTATGGCTCCAAGGACATTTCCTGTTGAGGACTTTTTTCTCCCCGTTTTGCATAAACTTGTTGGTATAGGTACTACATGTTCTTCTTCTTCTCCTCCTTTCTTTTTTTTTTTTTGTGTAAAAGAAATTTTGTACATAGAGCTTCAAGATTTAGAAGTTTAATACCTGATTAGGCATAGTTGATTCATTGGTTTTTTTGTACAATTTCCATTGTATTGTTTCTTTTCAATCTTGGCGGGATATTTTCCTCCTGCAGAGAGAGAGCGAAAAAGGGCATAAGCTTATAAGCAGTTTTTTGTTTTTTCTTCTTTTGAAGATAAAAAGTTAGAGCAATAAAGGGTGATGTACAATTTTTCTTCTACGGTAGTGATTATGGACCTTTGGTTGGAGGGACGAAGAGAGAGGGATCAAGAGAATTGAAAGGATCAAGAGAGTTAGAGGGACAAAGGAATTATAGTAATTTTTTATGCTATTTGATCGGAGAGAGTTAAAAGAATAGATGATAATTATTTATTTAATTATTATATTATTTATTTTATTTATTTTATTACTTTTTAATAATTCATTTTAATGGGTGGAAAAGTAATTTTAATTTAAAATTGACTGAATTAGTTGAATTATTTTATTGATAGAATGATATAAAATAATAGGTTCAGAAAGAAATGTCTCTTGAACTCGAGTTTAAGTGTTCCCTTCAACTCGAGTTCAGAAACTCAAACTCAAATTAATGAATAATATTTTTTTTATTCTTAAAAATGATATTAACTTTTTCGTTTTAATCCTGATTGAGATAATTTTATTTTTATGTGTTGACAATGAAAAGACGAATAAAACTCCATCCATATACTTTATTAAAATTTTTCATCACCATTGAGTTTTTATTAAAATACTATCTAAATATAAATTTAAGTTTTGACTCACTTAAACACAAACTCAAAAAAAGATTCTTATATCAAACCATAACTCAAATGTACACAACTAAACACAAACTCAAGTTACAACTTCAACTCAAGTTATAACTCAAATTCAACTCAAAAATTACACTCAAATCACACTCTAAAAGAACAAGCCTTAAATTTAGATTAAAAATATTTAAGTGGGGCCCGCTCCCATTGTCCACTGTGTAAAACCCCTATAATTTGGTAGTCTCAATTTAAAAAGGATAAAATAGATAAAACAAAGGTAAAAGAAAAAAAAAGAGAGAGAGAAAGTCTAAGAAAATATAATAGCCTTATAATTTTAGTTTAGCATCTTGGTTTTTCTCCACATTAAGGAAAAAAAAATTTCTTGCTCTGTCACTTACAGTAGTTAAATTATAAAAAGTAACACAATATATTTTTTTTGTTTGTCTTTTTTCCACAAAGTATAATTAATTGCAAACCCATTGCTGAAAAATGAACATTGTTGACCGATAAACCGGCCGATTACTCTTGTATTCGGCATGGCTTTCGGTTTCCCTCTCTAAAAAAAAACGTGTTGGTTTGGTGACCGAATCAACCAAAACTGGAATAGCCCCAAATTCAATTGCTGTAGTTGAATTTAATTCTTCCTAAAAAGAAACCCAATAAAATATGGTACATTCTCACACACACAATCTCTCTCTTGATGTCTTTGTTCGAACGAAAAAATGATAACAAAATTTGAAAAACATGAGGAGAATTATTAGGATATGTGCAAAAATTGCTGTTTTTTGAGTCTTTTTTGATAAAGGGATAATACCAAAAACTTTTCATGTGTTTTGTTTAAATACCACTTTTATTTCTTTTGTTGTGTAAATGCCTAGAACACGCTCTTTATTTATAACATTAGATTCAAAATACCTCTGAGCAATTAAATTTTTTAAAATACCAAGATTATCCTTTCCAACCTTTAGTAACTCTAATTTAACACATTATTAAACTTAAATCTTAAATAAAATCAATATTAAAGAATGAAAAACTCTCAATATAATTGAAGTATTTGTTTGGTTAGAATTTTTATTTGAATATTTTTTAAAATTTGTATTTAACTTTTTAGTTAAATTATATCTAAATTAGCATTTAATATAGATTTGGAATGGCGATCTTGGTATTTTAAAAATTTAATTGCTTTAGGAGTATTTTGAGTCTGATTTTAAAAACATATGGGGTGTTTAGAAAGGGTATCAATAAACAAAATACAAGGGTATGTTGGGTATTTTCCCTTTAATAAAAGACCAAAATTTCGTAAAGTTCTGTAAAATTAAGCAAATGACTATTGCGTTTCTAGTTTCTTATGAGTTTCTCCCAATTGTGTCTAGAAATAGAATAGGGCGGCTTGCTCTGAATTAGGAGCCATTAGTGATAAACCACTATAAACCAGTGATAAACTGTTTTATCACTGCTCATTTATTCGTGTATCACAAATTGACTTGGTGGTTTATCATTAATTGACAAATACTAATCGTTAATTAACCAATCTCAATCAATAGTTTATTAATGATAAACTATTAGTAAATAAAAAAAAAACTGATTTATCAATAATACATTATGATATATCAAATATCAATGACTGACTAATGACCATCTTAACTTAAATAATAAAAGTTATATATTCTCCCGACGCATGCCCGGTATTTTGATCGGAAACACAACTTGAATTGCCTTTCATACTTTAACGTATGCTTCTTAGTTTGGAACCTCAATACCTCTTCGCAATGTTTCGTAGCCTTCTCAAGGCAGTGGTTACTAACCGTAGCCTCCTTGGCTACCGGTGGAGGCAACACATGATTCTCGTTTTGAGGGTTGGCATAAACAAGTAGCGACCGATGATAAAGTGATTATGGAGATCTTGAGCTGGGGGAATTGGAATCCACAGCAGCCAGAAAGATTATATTTGAGAAGATCATGATCATGAATTCTAATAGAATTGTGTTGATATCATTTTTATGATCCATAGCTTCTCCTCTTTTTCTGTTTGCTTTATACAACGCTTTTGTTGGACTGTTTAAGTATATGAAGTCTGTCTGCAAATTATTTGCGACATAAGGACTTCTTAAGCTAGCCAATAAATAAGTAAACGTGTTATTTTAATGAAGGGATCAAAGATGATTAATTAGCAATATTTGGGGGCTGCCTTTTTCTTTTCATTAACATTCACAATGTTGGCGTCTTTTGAAGCGAACTAATGTATACATTGTTGATTTTGAAGAGAATACAAAGAGATTTTGAGGTGAGAAAACCGGAAAAAATCGTTGAGAGGCCGAGTGAGAGAGAGAGAGAAATCGATCGGAGAAAATAGAGGAGGAGGCTCTGCTCGTGGGCATATAACAGCCTTAGTACACATGTCATCGCAAATAATATTTGGAGTCCCGCCCAGTTTTCCCCCCTTGTAAATTAGTGAGGGAATACAAATCATTGTTTGCGACGACACACATTAATGTCGTCGCAAAAAAAATTTGCCACCCGTCAAAATAATCTTTTTTGCTCAGGAAAAAAATTAAATTTTATTTGTGCGGGACTATTTGCGTCGCAAATAATGGACTATTTGTGACGATATGTCGTCGCAAAAAGTGTTATTTTGGCGCTAAAAGTTCATGCTATACGAGATCTGCCGCCAGCCATTATTTACGACGACATGTGACATTTTTGCGACGACATGTAGTAGTGGTAACTGCCGTCGAGAAATGTTAAATTAGTAGTGGTAACTAAACTCGTGTAATATTAAATTAGTTGTACTAGTGGCCCCTTAATTGTTACAAAAGTTAACCTATATATACATATAAATATTTATATAATTATAAATAGTACAGACACACAGAAAAATTTTATCCGATTTTCTCAAAAAAAAAAAAAAAAAATCCAAGTAAATTAGGTACTCAGTAATTGTGTGTATAAGCTTCATATTGAATAATTGTCTATATCCTGTCCAATTTCACCTTCATGCCACTTGCATACAAAATAAATGCTAGAATAATTCCCTTGGCTAAAAAGGGGAAAAAAATAATGAAAAGAGCAGCCGTAGCCTTCATGCAATACCCAGTAATTATTCAATGTGCATCAAGGTAAGAGTATTAATGGTTAGGTCTTCTTAGGAAGAATTATTCAGTAGATTAGATATACCATTTACTGTCTAATAAAAAATTAGCATGTAAATAATTTTTTTTATGTTAACAATCACATTTCTGTCTCTTATTGTACTTTACGTTTATTGCATAACAAGTGCCATAAATATACTCTATTTAAATCTTTTATATAATTAATTTTAACTTTCAAAAAGTAATTATTTAAAGTTAATATATATATATTTTTTGCTAGATCTTATAATTTGAAGATTCACATGGCGGAATTTGACGCTCTACGGGTGGTTCAAGCGGTTTCCAGTGCTTCCTCACCAGCAGAAGATGGGGGTCATCGTGGAAGAGATAGTCGGGTTACTCTCCCGTGTCTCCAACTCGAAACGTGTTCATGTTCCTAGAGATGGTAATTTTGTTACTCGAGTCTTGTTTGGTATCTAGATTCGTTCCCTAATTCGAATTATGGTTCGTGATTCACTACAATATTTTCTTTCACAAAAAATACACGTAAATCGAAAATGATTCTAATCATATGATTTGAATCTATGAACCAAACGCCAAACTTTGCATACTTATCTTTCTGAGTCAAATTTAGTTTGTTTTGATGCTATTCCACTCCGTTTATTCGCGCCGATTTGGCTTAATGAAATTGCATATTTTTCTTCAAAAAAAAAAAAAAGAGGAAAAATTTACACGTTAAAATCTTAGCATGTTATCTATTAGTTTTATTCTTCATCTCTTGATTTGAGCATTTTTTTATTTTATTTTTTTCAGTTTTCTTCTTTTCGATGGGTAATGAATTTTAATGCACAGAAAGTTTTTCAATTGGAGTCTAGTGTTTTATTATTTTTTATTTTAATTGGTGTTTAAAGTTAAAAAAAGTACTAATACTAAACAAAAATGAGATAATTACAGTAAAACCTCGATGAAATCCTTATGGAATTGTCATGTGTCAGTTACTGATTGGGCGTTCACGTGGCGCTCGGTAATTGGTTCGCTCAAATAAGTTGCTATGTGTCAGTATACATTCGCCAGAAAAACCGATCTCACGTGAGTGCATAGTAGAGAATCGGGTGCTATCCAAGACCGATAGCCTGCCATGTGTAGCCTGGTGATTGGTCGGAGGAAGAAAGTGGCCGGGCCCACCTATTGAAACGCTGTCCCTTCCCCCACTGGACGCGCCGCTGCACGCGCGTGGAATGCATGCACCAATCACGGCCGCTGGTAAGTTTGATCCAATGGCCTGAAAAAATTTTCAATTTTATTTACATGAGTCATGATTTTTACCTCTTAGTCTTGATTAATAATTTTTTTAATTAAATAATTATACTAATAAAAGAGAATTAATAAAGAATAAAAGATAAATATCTAGACTCATACCCTTTTAAAAATAAGTACTATAATTTTCTCAGTAAAAAAAAAAAAAACATATATCATAGCATGTTCAAAAGCTCAAATAATCCAAAATGGCCCAAGTAATTTCCCACTCATTTTATTGAAGTAAATTAAAAAAAAATACAATGAAGAGTTAACATCAGCTCAAAAGGGCAATAATAACGGAAATACAAATGCCATATGTAAATGAGAGCACACTAATACAACTGTACTATACAAATTTTTGTTATTTTGATAACAGCGGTGCATAGAAAAAGTCAAATTCAGATTGATGTAAAGCCGTTTAATGGGAGCTGTGAAATGTGAATAGCCAGTTTGGAATACGTCCCCAGCAGCCCCATGATTCATGACATATCTCCTCTTGTCTTAGGCCTCGTTCATTTCACCGATTTGAGTTTTTAGTTTTAGGTTTCTACAGTAAAAAGCTCTTAGAAAATGTCACATCTAACTTTTTCTGCTACAGTGAAAAGCTCTAAGAAAATGTCACATCTCAGCTTGAATTGAAAACTCGAATCTACGAAGTGAACGAGACCTTAAAAATTTTGCCAGAGCCCGTTCGGTTCGTTAATTCGAATTTTTATTTCGAGTTGAGATGTGATGTTATGTGAGAGCTTTTTACTGTAACAAAAAAATTAGATGTGACTGTTTCTGAGAGCTTTTTACTATAACAAAACTCGAATCAGCAAAAAGAACAGAGCCTGAGATTGTGCGGCGAGAAGAACTAGAATCAACCATCTTAATCCAAATACACTGTCCATCAAAGTTCCAACCAAAAGTTATCCATACAATCATCATTTTTCGAATAGTACGTTTAGAATTCATTTTAAAATAATTTTATTTTTTATATAAAAATAGAAATAAAAACGTTTTTAATCTTAGATGGAAATTATTTTTAAAAATACGTTTAATAATTTTATCAAAAAATTATTTTCAGTGTAAAAAAATTTATTAATGTCTCTCTTTCTCTCTCTGTTTAAGAGAGGAGAAAATAAAAAATGACTAAAAGTCATTTTTCATTTCTCTCTTATTTTATACTAAATTAAAAATTATTTTTATTTTTATTTTTTATTTTTATTATGTCAAACACTATTTTAAAAACGTTTTTATTTTTTCTTTCTCCTAAAAAATAAAAATGAGATTAATTTGTTTCCTCGTTCCCTCCAAAGGATTAGCGTCCTACTGCTGCATAACTCAAAGCAAACAAACCCATATTTAAAACAGAAAATCCTAGAAGATCAGCACAAACTGAAATATTGGATTGAACAAACAATGACTTTTGAGCTTTCATGTCCCGTGTACCAGAATCAGAATTATAATAGAGTTGATAGATGATCAGTTTGGTCTCGACATCACCGTTCGCGAGAGGCCTTGCTGCTGCCATATCAGTTGGCTCTTTTGAGCAAGTGGATGCGTAGAAATTCCCTGCGGTAGAAAGATTCGTCGATTTTGATGAACTTGCCGATCTGACGGTTGAAATCCAGTAAAGCCATGTCCAGGAGTCACCATTTGTGAATAGTTGTGCAAAATCTGTATGTTCAGATCAGGCATAATCTGCAGCAGTGTAGGAGGACCAGCCACGGCCATGGGAGAATTTGGAGGGAAACAGTTCTCGGGGCTCTGATCAGGTGTGTCCATCGGAAATGGAGGAGGAGGAGGAGGAGGAGCGATCAGCTGCAGCGGTGATCTGAGGGTCAACATTTGGAGATACTGCGAAAGCTGAATGTTTTGATCTCGTAACATGATGTTCTCTGATTGAAGACTTTGTACAGTTTCCACCAGTTCCTGAAGTCGCTCCTCAGCAGCTTTATGCGATCCTGTTTGCATCTCTCTTCCGCTCGCAGATTTCTTCCCAAGAATGCCCTCGCAAATCTCTGCATCCAAATTCCAATTGTGTTTTAACTCTTTTTTTTTTTTTTTTTGACTAAAAACAAATTATGTTAACAACATCGTAAAAGCCATCCTATAAAATAAAAGAATTAATAACTGATTAAGAACCTTTTTTTTTAAAAAAAAAAAAAAAATCCTAGAATCGTAAAATTATAGTAATGTAATCATGAGATGTCCCCCTAGTTATGCATATTACGTTCAAGGAAAGCAATCCAAAATCAAGATGCATGAAAAAATAGTATGAATCCATAGGCACGATCTGAATCGTACGAAAATGGAAAGTAATGGTGAGTATTGATCATCAAGAAAGCTTGTTCACCGAATATTATCCTCACCTTTAAAATGGGAGAGAAATAAAAAGCAACCGCATGATGCAATTGACTTTGGATCTTCCTCCTCATCTTTCTCTGCAGTTTTAGAGAGCTCCGAAATCCCACTTCCGCTTTGTTTATATTCTTCAACTTCTGTAGCAGAGCCGGGTACTCTTTCAACTTCTTCTTCTTCTTCTTCTTCTTCTTCAACTTCTGTAGCAGAGCCGGGTACTATTTCAACTTCATCTTCTTCTTCTTCTTCTTCTTCAACTTCTGTAGCAGAGCCGGGCACTATTTCAACTTCTTCTTCTTCTTCTGTAGCAGAGCCGGGCACTATTTCAACTGTAGCAGAGCCGGGTACTATTACGACTTCTTCTTCGTTGGCACCACGCATAGTGTCATTAATAAAAGTTCCAGAAGCAATTTCTCTACATGTTTCAGACCCATTTGGTTTTTCTTCATTTCCTAGTGAACAAATCTCTCTTGGTTCAGACCATTTGCTCATAGCATCATCAACTTCTTTGCATGAGCTACTACAATATTCTGTATTACTACTTGAGAGACCACGGAATTCGTTTGCGTCTTGGAGACTTAGCAGGCGGACACCACAGGATTTGATTACGCATGACTTTCCAAGAACAGGTGATCCAGTTTGCCAATCCAATGCATAGATGTGAAATGACATTTCGGTGATGTTGTTATCATCTGCTTCTTTACAAGCCAGTGCCCAAGAAGAAGGGTACTTGAAGCACAAGAAAACATGATCCGAATTGAGTATTTGAGTACCTTTTATGCCATTGTCATAACATGTCCATAATGGCGTTTCAAGTTTGACACTTTCACCATACTTGGTCCTCAAATGGAAGTCGCATCGGAAATCTTTCTTGGAATAATGATACTCATTAAATTTAACAACAAAGCATATCAAAAAACCAAAGCAGCTAGAACTCCGCCATTTTGCAGGAAGCATGACATCTATAGAACAACCTCTAGCTTGATGGTCAATGAACTTCAGAATTTCGTTTCCCGGATAAAAGATGCAAGCATCATAATCCTGCAACACTAACAGAGAAGTCAATATTATTAAACTTATAAAACATTGCTAGATGATCTATTTCTTCTAACACAGTAAAAGAAAGAAACTTACAATGTAGCTCTCCGAGATTGCTGCATGTGCTGCCATTGAAGAAATTCTAAGCTTTGCATCTGCTATTATGTTATCGCGAGCGTTCTGGTCCAGGTTGTGGCAACCTAAAAATAAAAGCTTCTGATTCTGTTCGAACCTTTTTGGATCAAAAGGTTTCATGAGTGCACTCCTCGAACTCGACACACTCTCCAGTGAGGTGCAACCTTGTGCATCCAAAAGACATACATATGGAAGTTCCGGTATAGATCGAAGGTTCTTCCAATTGTTAACGTAAAGACTTCTCAATTTAGAAAGTTGCTTGATGCTTGTAGGTATTTCATCAACAAATTTTGCACTTAGATGCAATTCTTCTAGTGAAGATAGACAACCAAGGCAGTCAGGAAGTTTAAATGCATTACATTCATACATATGCAGCCTAGACAAATTGGAAAAACCATTGACAGTTCTCAGGGGAGGTAGCTTTGTAAGTTGTGAACAACCAGAAAGGTCTAGCGACTGAATTTTCAAATTGTAGATACTGCTTGGGAGAAATTGGAGATTTTCACAGTTCTTCAAGAGTAAGCTTTTAAGTTTGACCAGTTTTTCGATCGATGACGGTAGCTCTTTAATAGCTGTTCCAGATAAAACGAGAGAAAATAAACTTTCCAGAGGCTCCAAGATTTCTGGGAAGTTATCAAATTTTGAGCAACCTTGTAGATAAATATACCTCAGACACTTGAGCTTACAAATGCTGGTAGGGAGTGTCCGAAGCTTTTTGCAGTCAGTGAGATGAAGATTCACAAGGTTAAAGAGAGCTCCAATTGATGAGGGTACCTGTTCTATTGCCGTCCCGCTCAAATCCAATTTAAATAGATTCTTTGGAAGCTCTAGTACTTGTTCAAGAGATGAGCAGCCCACCAGATAAAGTTCTTCTAGAGAATCCAATTCACTCATGCTTGTTGGAAGGCTCTTAAGGGAGGTACAACTTTTAAGCTCCAAATACTCAAGTTTTCCCAAGAGACCAATTGATGCAGGCAAATCTTGTATTCTAGTTTCACTCAAACATAACTTTCTTACATTCCTTGGAAGGTCTGGTATCTTTTCAAGAGACGAGCAACCTGATAGATAAAGAATTTCCAGGGAACTCAACCGGAACATGCTTGCCGGAAGAGTCTTAAGAAAGCGACAATTCTGAAGACGCAGCTCGGCTAGCTTGTCCAAAAACCCAATTGATGCAGGCAATTCTTTTACTTTCGTCTCATTTAAATACAAGTAACTCACATTTTCGCTTATTTCTGGAACACTTTCAAGATTCCAGCAGTCCCAAAGACGAAGAGTTTCAAGAGATCTCAACCGATTAATGTCGGGAAGACTCCTTAGCTTATCACAGTTGTCTAGATACAAATGAGTTAGCTTGTAAAGGTTGCGAAAGTTATGTGATGGGATTAGAAACAAGCTTGTGCATTTGATGAGATATATAATCTCAAGGTTTGGAGCTTGAGACAGATCTGGCATATGTTTCAAGTGTTGACAGAAACTCAGATTAATAACTTTTAAGCTCGGTAAAGGCTGCAACAGAAAGACAAATGCAAGAATAGTAACTTAGCACTAGAAAGGCAAAACAAAATATGTTCTTATGTACGTACGTATGTATGTATGTAAATTTGTAACAAATCATTTTACCTGAGCTCCATCCCAAAGTTTCTCAACTTGGCTGTTTGGCATGATAAGTTCAACAAGCTGCTCAGAATCAAAATTTGTTGGTAAAGATTTTGAAGGATACTCATCCCATTGAAGATATCTAAGTGCATCAGGGAGGAACTGAAGATCTTGAGGAAGGTACAATTTGCACTCTTTACTGTTGCTAGAGTTATAAATCTTCAGCAATCTGAGATTACTTGCCTCTTTGAACATTTTAGGACTCAAGTGTAGTTCTTTAATCTTAGAAACGTCAACAAGTATTACTTCTACCATTGCACTCACCTGAGGACAATAACAAAAAAGAACAAATGAGCATACCGTATACAAGCTTTACTAAGACATAAAAATACTATATATATATATATATATTTCTTTTGAAAGTTTAGTCATTTAGGAAAGAGATTCGTTTGTATGTACTTTATTATTTTTGAATACATGATAAACATCATGAGGAATCCACAGCCTACTACGCTTTCCAGGCTGCTTAATGGATTGTTGACGAACAATTTCCCGGCCCGTTTCTTGTATCAGATCATGCATCAAGAGCTCATCTTTGGGAGAAATAGTTATGAGCGACTTTTCAACGAGATCGTCTATTTTCGTATCATCAAAGAAATCACAACCATCCAACACTCTTGTTACAAAATCTCTCTTTTCCCCTTTGAAAAAGCATGCTATGTCAAGAAATAGTTCCTTGTGCTTTTCCGTCAGTCCATCATAACTTACTCTGTAGACATTCTGAACCCTACCATCAGGAGAATTTTTCAGGTCAGCTAATATACTTTCCCACTTTTTTTTGCTCTTGTAACTAAAAAGAGAACCCATCAAAACTTCAAGAGCTAGTGGAATGCCTCTAGCATACTTCACCACCCTTTCTGATAGCTCTTTGTCCTTTATTATGGGAGAGTTTTTCTTTGAAGCATTTAAATGAAAGAGATGAAAAGCTTCATCAAAGCTTAATTCTTCCACTCTGTATGTTGCATCAGCGCGGTTCTCAAGCAATCGCATATCCCTCGTTGTGATGATAATTCTACTGCCAAGACCAAACCAACCACGGTCACCAATGAGAAACTCTAATTGCTCGTGATTACTGACATCGTCAAGAACTATGAGAACTCTTTTAGAGTGAAGCCTGTCCATGTCAAAATCTAATCTTACAAAAGGGATGTTCAACGTTGTAATCTTTTCATCTAACAACTCCGAGAGAAGCTCATTTTGTAAGTCACCCTGCTTGCGACTGCCTTTCTCCCATTCTTCTCTAACGTTTGAAAGATAGCAACAACCCTCATATTGGGAATATAACCTGCTATATATAACAGAAGCAAGTGTCGTTTTTCCTATGCCACCTTGGCCCCAAATGCCTATAATGCGAACATCAGATGAGCCAATTGACAGTAATGAGTCGATTTTCTCAATGCGTTGGTTGATTCCAACTAGGTCTTTGACACTCTCACTTGATGATTTAGTTCTCAGTTTTCTGATTATATCTTCAACAACTGTCTCAACTAGTTTGGATTCAGGCCTAACATATATAAACACATATAATAGTTAGTCAAAAGGAAGAGCCGGAACGAAATGAGGAAAACCATGGAAGTACGTGATGTCTGATCAAGTGATCATCATGCCTAAAGTTCTTTCAAGACAGATGACAAAAAAAGCAACGCAGATATTTGTTTCACGCATGGAATTTCCCTTTATTTCGATAAATTGATAAGAAGTATAAATACTTCAAAATAGAAATAATTAGAGATATAATTACGTAGAACTTCTCCTCTTTTGATACGTTCTTTTTACGGTTAGTAATATTGGTATTATCTCCTTTTAATTTCTTCTGTAATTTTTCATAGTTTTATGATGCGTTAGAACAATTTCCTTGTTTTTCATTACGAGTTCTAATTTTTACCTATAAAATTGAAGCAATTTAGTAAAAAGTTCATTATACTAATTACTATGATAATCAGCGATCCCAACCGTAAAAGCATTCCTTCAAACAAACACTTCATCCAAATTATATATATGTTATGATTACCTATCGATAGTGATAGTACGCCCTAAAGTTTCTCATATATAGTTATCACGATAAATCATACTAGTGACAAGATGGTATGGAACAATTATATGAGCAATAACTATGGAAGAACATGAACATAATATATATATATATATATATATAGGTAAAGTCTCCAATTCAGTATCCGATTAAAACGGCCAAGTATATTTTTTTTTAAAACATAAGTGTTTAGACAAATTATAATTGTCTCCTCATATTATATATATTTTAAGAAAAAATATACATATTTTTAAAAAAAATATACATGTGTCGCTATAATTCGGTATCCGGATCGGAGACAATTACAGATCAGCTTAATTTTAGATAAAATCTTGTACATCGTGCTCCATGGCATGTACCATGTATACCAGTGAACGTATACATATACTGTAAATATAAAAATCTAATATTTTGCAATAAAAGAGTCTCAAAGTTTAATATTAAAATTACCGAAATTCATTCGAAGGCCAACCGGATAAATTGGCTGCTTTGGTCAATGCATCCCTCCACGCGTGAAGTTTCACCCTGTCTTTGAATCGCTTTTCATGATCGGCAAATGCAGTTGCGTAGCTCCCCTGCTGTTTTCTCACGCATGAAGGATCAATGTTGTAGAAAATAGGCACAGCTTCCAGCTGTCCATTGTTTTCTCTGCAACGGAGAATTTGCAACAGTTCGTCCAAGCACCACGAGGAAGACGCATAGTTTTCCGAAAAAATTATCACCGCAATCTTTGAGTTGTCTATTGCCTGTAAAAGGGCCGGTGAAATTTCTTCTCCCCTCTCGAGATCGTCCTCGTCGATGTAAATGTCGACTTTTTTCCGACGTAAGGCGGCACAAAGATGGCTTGTGAAGTTATGCCTGGTGTCTTCACCTCTGAAACTGATGAATGCATCGTACTTCTTTGTGATCGTAATTATAGAAGAAGACGGTGATGAAGACGAAGCATCAGCCATAGTCATGCCTCAAGATCAGCTATATGTTATTACACCTATATATATATATATATCAAAATGAGCACCGGCCGCTAATGCTTTTAAAACAAAAAAAAAAAAACAATTGCTAAGAATATATCTTTCTTCACCAAAATTGCCAAGAATTGCTTGAAGCTTTGTTTTGTTTTGTTTTGTTTTGCATTTTTAATTATTATCTTTTTTCTTTGGAAGGAAAAAGAAGAAAGAGTAGAAGTCAATAAGAAGACTTCTCTCTGGCGCATTTAAGTAATATTGTGTGGACGAAAATGAAAGGAGTAAAGAAGCGTCAGGGAAACCCAAGAAAAAAAAAAAAAAATGTACAAAAGCATGTGAAAGTGCCAAATGTGAAAGCGCGTGTTGGCACGCAATGAAAAAGTCAGGCTAATGTAGCCATCCATCATCAACTGTGAAAAAAAGGAATGAGGAGTGCTGCTTGTCCCGAGCGGAATAAACCCACAACCCAGGCATTATGTTGCGAGTCTCAATACTATTCACAAAATAGAATATAATTTTAGATCCTTAATTTAATATTGAATTTATATGTAAATAATTATGTGTAACAGATTATCATATAAAGTTAAATTTGTTTAAAAGTGATCTAATAAGGTTTGAATAATTGAGCTTTAATGTATCTAATAGGGTGTGAGCATTTAATGTGTAGAGACTTAAGAGTAATTTCTATTTTTATAATAGCTAAAATAGAAATACTAAGAGAATAACTAAGAAGTTATCTATAAATAGCAGTCATGCTCTCCATATCACATATTACATTCTATTCTTTCTGACATCTCATCATCAGAAAGAGAGCAGATAGAAAAATTAAGGATTCTCTAAAAAAACGTGTTGATCTAGAAGACAAACTGCACGACTCTAGTGATAATTAATCAATATGAATTCAGGTACACTTCTACTTATTTATTTATTGATTATTATTGATTTAACATGAATATTCTTGAATTTTGGGTAATAATTTTCACCAAATCATTAATTTCTAACATATAAATATCATAATATAAGACCTGTATGTGTGGAGCTCACTCTCTATTACATTAATAGTGCTTAGTGTCGCTCCTAAATATTTTTCAAAAAACATGCCATGTTATTTAAATATAATGTGATAAAGTTAATGTGACCCACTATTGTTTTTTCTCTCTCTCAGGAGTGAAGGCCTTTTTAGATAATAGATAATACTTGCTTTCTCTACGAATTATGATTAAACCTTTTAAATATAAAAAAAAAAATCATGTTTTTTCTCTCAGGGAGTGAAGGCCTTTTACGAATTATGATTAATAAACATTACACTTCCGGTTTGGCTGGAAAATGACAAAAGAAAAACTTAACGACACGTACTTGCGAGTAGTTTTGATTAATATTTCTCTTGCTACAACTATTTCAATCAATCAGTTTAACCTTTATATTTACCAAAAGCCCTTGACCAATCTCGTCTATATAAACAAAGAATAAAATAATATCACACTAAATAAAATAAAGTAAAACTTAAATTAGGAAAAGATAAAATAAAAAAAAATTAAAGATAAGCTAAATTATACTAAAATAAATAAAATTAAACTAAAATTTAAAGAAGATAGATCACTTAATTGAAAAAAAAAAACTGAAATAACTCCACTTCATAGAGTTATCAGTAGTATCGTGTTTGTATTAGAAAAATTTTAAAATTCTATGTTGGCAAAATGGCTTATTAAGCCACGGTAAAAGTCCATTTTGAGACTCATTTTGGAAAGGGGCTTAATTGGTTTTTAAGACGGGTCTTGATGGATTTACGTTCTCTATCACGAAGAGATCAAAATCGATTATCATACACTCAAAAGGGATATTAAGTGAATGAGAAATTTAGGGATTGTTCTTTTGGAGTGTTACTTGAGTGTAATTTTTGAGTTGAATTTGAGTTGTAACTTGAGTTTAAAGTTGTAACTTGAATAAAGCTGAGTAAAATTGAATAAAGTTAGAACTTAAAAGAACGTGAACTTGAATAAAGTTGGACTTGTTCTTTTAGAGTGTAACTTGAGTGTAGTTTTTGAGTTGAATTTGAGTTATAACTTGAGTTGAAGTTGTACCTCGAATAAAGTTGAGTAAAATTGAATAAAGTTAGACCTTAAAAGAACATGAACTTGAATAAAATTAAAACTCGAGTTATCTTTTTTTGAGTTTTTTGGACAAAAGAACAAGCCCGTTGTAACTTGAGTTTAAACTTTTTCTGAGTTTTGTTGTAAGAGAACAACCCCTTATGTTCTAAGTATGTCACTTGGAGTGGTTAAGGTAACTAGAAATTATAAAAATCTCACATTGGTTAGGAATGAAGCCTTGGTCGTGTTTATAAGTGATTGTACTTTGAAGCTTCGGTAAGCTTGTATACCAGAGAGGCTCTCTCACGCGCAGGGGGGTACGAATCACGGTCCCAGTAGGTTAGAGGCCCAATTGTGCGCCCGCGACCTGCGGACACGAATGTCGGACCGGAAAATCCGCTCCGTGCGGGTAGTAAATTATCTATTTGTCCAACAAATCAAATAAACAAAGGTATAAATTATGAGCAATACATGTAGGGCACTGGTAATGTCCCACCTTCTATTAGTGATGGTATTTAGCACCGGTGGTGCCTTTAAGCATTTTTCATAAATTATAGACTAGTTGAATGATCAATTTGGGATAGTCTACTGGACATTCTATAGGTTTGTAGACATGAATGTCGGACCGGAGAACCCGCTCTGTGTGGGTAGTTAAATTATCTATTTGTCCCACAAATCAAATAAACAAAGGTATAAATTATGAGCAATACATGTAGGGCACTGGTAATGTCTTTCCACCTTCTATTAGTGATGGTGTTTAGCACCGGTGGTGCCTCTAAGTATTTTTCATAAATTATAGACTAGTCGAATGATCAATTTGGGACAGTCTACTAGACATTCTACGGGTTTCTTGATGCTAATTTTGTCCCTGATTAATTCATTAAAAAAAAACTCTAAATTGTAAGCCATATGTTTAAGAAAAGAGATGGAGATATCAAACACATATGCCTTAATAGACTCTTATTTAGAGGACAAAATTAATGTTATGAGAGGAATAATTATCATAGTGATTATAATGTCAAGTATGCGAGTTCAATCTCTCGTGTGTTCAGTCTCAGTTTTCCACAGCAGAAACGCACCAGTGGAAGTGACATTTGAGTGCGAAGAGGAGGCCAGAAAAAGTGTAGAGAGAAATGGCAAGGGCTAATAAAAGGAATAGAGAAACACAGAAGAGTATATGTAAAACTATTTACTCACTGCTACCATGTCAAATTCAATGACTGCATGAAGAGTAAGAATCCCATATCTATTCTAAACTCGAGAAATTTGATCATGTCATAAAAGGTTGGTAAGAGGAGATAAGTGATCTTTTGCAGATCTTAAGTTATTATCTTGGAAATGCATGGTATGGGAATCCAATTTTTGTTGGTGATTTATTAGGCAATAAGCTTGAAAATTTGTCTCTCTTTGTTCATGTATAAGATAGTGCAACATTTTGTTGGTTCTTCCATGATTGAGCCAACAAAAATATTTAAAGTTTTTCTCTTTTTTTTTTTCCGTGCGTATTTCCTTATTTCAATTGCTTTTTGTCTCTCTTTTAATAAATTACTTGCATCTACTTGATTGCTAAATAACCACACAAGCGAAATCACTTAGCAAGGATGATGACTATACCAAGTATTGTGTTGAGATTTTAGTTCAATGTGAAACCCAAATGAATTACGACGAGAAAACTGTTAGTCCATCTACATCGGGATTAAAGATCGGAAAAGGAACACAGAACCAAGTCCTTTAGTAAAATTAAACAAAGATCATCGCATGATCAATCCACACACTAACGAATCATTCTTTACTAAGTAATTAGAGGTTCAAGGGATGTATGCGGATAGCTTATAAGATCATTCTTAATGTGAAAGGGATATGCGTCAAGATAGAAGACGAATACCAAGAAATTATTACTAAGTTAATATGAAGATGTCTAAGTTCTAACTGGTACAATGATCTATGTTGACCAATGCATGATTTTTTCACGTCCACTATGGTGCTTAGAGGTTTCACAATTTACGGAGAAGAGTCTATTGAATACAAAGAATGTAAAGACTAGCAAGAGTGCAATCCAATCCTCGGTTAGGTGATACCCCTAATTGTGACCTATTACCTGCTTAATGTTGAGCCCCATGCTAATGAATGCTTCCTTAAATAGAATATCCGCACGGCTTACTCCATTGATAATGACTTGCCCCACACTTGCGGCCCCTATATGCAGCTCGACTATCAGAGGTCATCGTGCGGGAGTCTAATCCCTTCAAGATCCTGCTGCGTGAAAGCAATGGGGACCACCGGTTTCATCTACTTAGACACGAACTATACGTAGTGCCCTTGTTGTTCGACTCGCCTGATTTGTTCTTCCCTTCTCACCTCGCTTCACTTTTCAAACTTTTCTTTATTGCTCCTCTCTGGCCTACGTAGTATCGTGGGCACGAACTTCAATGCTTGGCTCGATCCTAAAACTTGCTTGCCTCTGTCATTATCCATCAAAGATGGCTTGTAAATCTTGTCAGTTCATGCATTATTGTTGGGCTCTCCTTATTGTAGTGTGCTAGTTGTCCATTATAGACCATGGCCCACACCCGGCCATTAAGAGATCGGTAATATGGGTCAGGTGGTCGTAGTCTCTGTGGAAGTTGAAGTACTTAGACTTGTCTTCTTGTCTTCGGGGACGCACATGGTCGTTGGCTCGCAAAATGACTTGGGTAGACATGTAGTCCTCAACATTACTTTTATTTTATCCAATAATGTTTTGTTCATCTCTGCCACTCCATTTTACTAAAGAATGTGTTAGAGAGATTGTAATATATCTCTCAATTTTGATATCACAAAATTGGCTTAAAACACATTCAGGAAGAGTGGGCGGACACAAGCGCGCACTGTAGCGCGCTTGGACGCTGCAGCTTGCGCAAAATAGACCTCTCGGGTCTGTTTTGCTAAGCTCGCG